ATTCAATATAATGGTTCAACTGAAGATAATATTGCTGAATTAGATTCACAATCTGTTTTAGGAAGATCAACAAATAAAATTCCTCCAGCTTTAGTTTTAGCACGAGATATACGTTATTCAACATCAATTCGTTCTAAAGCAATTCTTTCATTTGTCGGAACAATTAAACCTGAATGGATTGAACATTCAACAAAACGTCAATTAAAAATTAATAGTGAAGAAGAAGTGCGTCTCAATAGTAATAATATATTCACAAATGCTTTATCGAAATTTTCTAATAAAATTACTATGTTATTAACTAAAACAGATGTTAATCTATCGGGACAAGCAGGAATTGTTTTTAATTCTGAATCCCATCTTTTACAAGAAATGGTCGAACAATTTCAATTTAATTTAGACAATAAAAATCCTCCAAATACTGCACAATATACAAATTTAGCTCGAAATTTAGAAAGTATTATGAAAATGCCTTACATCTTTAATCCTATGAAATGGCGTTGGGAAAATCAAAAACAAATTACTATTACAGTTAATTGTAATACATCAACAAATATTTGTGAAGTTACAGTTAATGGAAGAAATTCCGAATATAAAAATGTTAAAAACGAATTTGGTTCATTTTTATCTTGGTTACAAGAGTGTGCTGTTATTCGACATCCTAATTCAGGTAAATTCAATTAAAAAAACAAGTTTAAATATAAGCAAATGAAAATGATGATTTTGAGAAAAATGTAAAATGCAAAAGTTTCTCTTGTTCTATTCAATTTCATTGATTTATTTGTTTCTATCCTATTGAATATTATTAATTTTAGGTGTTTCACCACGTGTTTTTCGTCCTCAAGTTCGTTCAAAATATCTTGATATTGAAGAACGAATATCTCATATAACTGATGAGAAACGAACAACAATAGATTTATATAATGGTGTAAAAGGTATCAATGCAACACGTGAAACACGAATGGAAGTTGTCGCTTGGATAGCTGTATGTAAATTTTTTTGTCGACTTGAAGGAGGTTTTGTACGTGATTGGATTGTTGGTCAATACACTTCACGGCCAGCTAATCCTCCTACAGCAAGTCCTAAAGATTGGATATCCTATATGAAATCAATTCCATATATTAATAAAGAAGTTGTTCCTGCTGATTTAGATTGTCATTTACCAACACATAAATATTTTGATATTGAAAAATTTCATGATGAATTATATAAACATGATATAACATGTAAAATTTTTCGACAAGATTGGAGATATGTTTTATTAATTGATGAAAATGCTAAAACAGGTCCATTTACAATGGATTTAATTGAACCTCATGTTGCATTAACACAAGATCGTATTGATTTTGATGTTAATAATTTATCATTAGAAAAAGATTATACACATGAATTAGGAATGCGTGTTGATATTCAACAAAGACCTTATTTAATTGAACTTGAAACAATTGTTGAAAATATTAAAAATAAACGTTTTCAAGTTCTTCGTCCAATCGATAAGCATCTTATTGAACGTATTAATAAAATGGTTGAAATTCGTAAATGGACACAAATTGGACAACCATTTTTAGTTGTACCAAATCCAAATCCAAAATATTCTGCAGTTCTTGTTCCATTACCATCATCAACTACTTTATATAAAGATCTTGAACAAAAAATGAAAATAATTGGAACTTCAGTTAAAATTCTTTCAATTGAACAAGTTAAAAATCCTTTATTAGAAGATACATATGAATCGATGAAAAAAATCATTGCCAAACAATGTACAGGTTTTAATCCGAATGAACGTGAATTATTTCATGGAACTAAAGGACCTGGTATTGATGGAATTAGAGATGATGGTTTTGATGATCGATATTTTAGTCCAACCGGAAATTGGGGTAAGTAATTCATTTCTTTAAATAATAAATAACTAATACAACGAATTTTTCGAGATTCAACTGATGAGAGAACTTACCCAGGTGTCCCTCTCAGTGTCTTAGTAAAAGTTCTAAAATGATATGGATTATTTATACAAAGTTCCATTCTTTCCAACAATTTGTCAAAAATTTTTTTAAACTCTTCTTCCGGAATATTTTTCACTACCTTGAAAACCATGTGAGTCAATGATTTTTCATTTGTTTGGTCAGTTAAATTATACTTGATATAATCATTTAGCCAATAATCATATGACGCAAGGTCAGGTGAATATAGTGGATGTCTTCTTCTGTTAAATAATTAATAACATCTGAATAAGTATAAGGTCGAGCATTGTCTTGAAGCAAACTGTCATATAAATTCAAACGCTTTGCCTACATTGCAACTGTTCGATATGATGGAGCAGTCGATTCTAAAGTTGTTGTGAGTTCTTCATGAATTGTCTTTGGTTCTATTCCCAGAAGAGTCCGAATTTTTATATAGTATCAATCAAATTCATTATTCATTTTAAAAATTGTTTTTTTTTCAATTCGAACTAAAGTTTATCTCTGAAAAAATATTGTAACTAAGTCCAAAATAGAGTTATAAAATTGTCAATAGCGTTGCCAGAACTTTTGATCACTCCTAACTATGTTATATCATTCGAAGAGTAAAAATTAAAATATTGATAACTCTTGAAGGAAGAACTACGAATCTAAATCCATTTAAGGCTTTTACTAAGACCGTTACGTAGCATCTATAGACAAAAATTCATTGAGATCCGAGAAAAATGCCTATTTTGATTAATTAGAAAGGTATTTCTATAACATAGGTCATGGTGCATATTTTGCTGATGATCCTAAAAAATCTAACGGTTATACGAATCCTGATCCAACAGATGGAACACGTGTTATGTATTACAGTAAAGTCTTATTAGGTAATGAATCAAAACAAACAACAGTTAATCAAAAATTAGTAGCGGCTCCAGTTAAATTTCATTCTGTTGTTGGGACATTAAATGGATTCACAGAATATATTGTTTATCGCTATGGTCAAGCTTTGCCATACATGAAAATTCTTTATACGTCTTGATTGCTATATTCAACATTCGACAAAGAATTTTTTTCTAAGCCAACAGTGATTTTTTCAATAAAAGTGTTTTTTTTTCTTGATTATTTTTTTTTGATTAAACATTTGAATTTTATTTTGATTTGAGAATTACTATTAAAGATTTGTATATCGATGTCAGTTCACATCATTTAGCTGCTGACTGAAAAATTATTTTGAAGATTTGACTAAAACACAAATTGATTTTGTTTACTTCAATGATCGAACAGTTTTCATTTTCAACTTGTGATTAAGATTCTATTATATTCTAATCCTATTCTTTTGAAAGATAAGATCAAACTTTATACGAAATGTAAAGGCTGGGAGTGAGGGGTGATCGAAGTAACCACAATTGATTTCGACCTTTCTCATGGGTTTCGTAAGGTGGCTTATAGATCTCAAGATCGATTACAAGTTTGAATTAAATCGAGATATAGAGGCAGTGAGAGCTCATGGGAAATAGCGACACGAAAAAATTCGAATAAAATATTGCTAATCATTGGTCGAAAAACATTTTTGTTGAAAAATATAGCAGAGATAGTGATTGAATGAGAGTATACTGCGATAGAGAGAGTAGAGATTCATAAAGTCCTATTGCTCTGACAAATATCTCGATGAAATATTTATTAGAAAAGTTATTTTGAATTGATGACATTCTATTGTTTATTATGTTGTATTGGTAATGACATGAACATCTGGCTCAACTCATCGTCCTCCTTTGTGTCTCTGTCGTCATTTATTTTTGATATGATCTTTGAAGAGAAGTGTCCCATATAAAGAGCCGTCTGAAACTTTTGATTCAAAAAATTTATCAATAATTACTTTCTTATAAGTGAGTTGTTTGAGTATCTTTGTGTTTCTATGTGGAAAAGCGTGCTTTGTATTACTTTGAAAGTCTAAAAAATTTGCTGAAATTGCTATTAAATACTGCGAAAAATATGAAAAGGTACTATCATTCACCAACAACGATGTAAAATAGTAAAGAAATTCAATTTATTTTTACTTTATTAATATTAAAAGCACTTAGAAAGTACTTTTTTGCTCTTGTTTTTCATATGTTAACAAAAATTCCGTTCAAGTCGCCGTTATATATTTTGGTAAGGACTTCAGTTTGCTTAGATTCTATTAAATTAAACTGGAGAGGAAGGGCTGTGCTTGTAGATATTTGATATCTCTGGTTAATTTGGATGTAGAAGGTAGGATTTTTCTGTATTGCTAGCTACTTTTGGTATAGTAGAATTTAAGAGTATTTGATTATAATTAAACTAATTCAAATATCTAGTGGCTTTTCTGAGTGGCAGAAATTTGAAAATTTTAACACGCAGATTTTAAAATTAGTATTAATTTGAGAATTACTACTGTATGAACATCATCGTAGTTTATTTGGAATAAAACTGCTATTTTGTAGATGAACCTTTTTTTGTATGATATGTGTAATAGTTAGGGTGTGGGTGTGGGTGTGGCTGGGTGTGAATATCAATGAAAGCCGGACTCACACTCCTACTTCCACACCAACACCGACACCCACATCCCACCCACATTTCACCCACACTCCACACCCATGCCCACATACCCACGCCCACACACCCACACCCACCCACAGCCAAATCCTATACCCACACCCACACCCACATCCCACACCTATGCCCATACCCACACCCATATCCACACCCGCACACCCACCCCCAAACGCGAAACATCTATGCTCAAAGTCAACTATTTGTTTAGTGCGTCACATTCATGTTGGAGAAAGCAACAAAAAAGAAAAGAATGCGAAAAAATTCTTTTTTTTTTTACTATAATTCATTTTTCTTTTTCATCGACCACTTCAAACCTTCTATTTCTTTCCTTTTGAAACAAGTTGATTACCTTTTCGCAGCGTCATTCTGGCAATGACAGAGCAAGCAACAACAAAATATGTAATGCTGTCGTACCAATGGAAGGTACAAAAATTGGTCCTATCGATGTACGAATACCTAGTCGAGAAAAAGATCCCTGTATGGATGGACATCAAGTCCGGTTTACCGTCAAAAAATTTATATGAAGGGTAACAAATAGATTTGTGTAGAAATCGACCCTATAATATCCAATTTACTTTAGCCTGAGCCATGCAATTGAAAATTCATCATGTTTTGTCTGCTTCATGACGCCGGACTATCAAGAATCAGACTTTTGTAAACAAGAATTCCAATATGCGAAACAGCGCCGCATACCCATCATACCATTAAAGCTTGATGAGAACTGGGAACCAACAAATTGGCTTGGTAAGAGCTCACGAACATAATTCAAAGAGAATCATGTTTTCTTCCTTAACACATTTCTCAGGTCTTCTAACGGTCGGCCTGGTATGGCTTGATTTTTATCGTACAAAAGACTTCAAAACCAAAGCCTCAGAATTACATGGTCGTATTTGCGCAACTGTCGGTAATCTATATCAAGAGTCAAAGTCACAAGAATCGTCTTCAAAGACAAAACCGAAAGGCACTTCTGTCAAAAGGCATGAAAAAATACCGGAAAATTCATGCGACGGACACAGTAAAAAAGGTCCAAAATTTCGGTGTCCTCAAAATCCGAGTAAGAGGCTAAATAGTTTGTTTTTCTGCTTTACAAAGTTGATAAATGAGTACGATTGGACTTTTACTAGTATTTTTCTCATAAAAATCGTTCGAGCTAATAGATAATTTCGAAAGATATGTGAACCTACTCTCATACTCGACGGTTCCCATTGCTACAACAAAAGTAACCTGTAAAGAGAGTTCGTCGAGTTCGAGTGGAATATTTTCGGATCTGATTAGGTCTACGTTTAAGCAATGCGCGGCTCAGGAATATTCATACACACCACTGACACTAGTCCTTTGATCTTGGGTCCTATTCTGCATGTGGCGCAGGCGCGTTCTACGTTTTGGCAAATACTTTTTTCACTTTGTGTAGAATGACACAAACCACTTTATAGCACCACTGTCGAAAGGGGATAATACCACTGATATTCACCCCGAAAATAGAGACCATAACTTATATAAGTGTTTAAAAATTCAGCCGTAAGGACCTTTCTGTTGGACAGAACTTACAATATCCGTTTCAGATGTAGAGTTATACTGTTTAGAAAAATCGCAGTGTGATCCCCATCATGTTTTATGCAGTTAAGTCGCCAAGACCTCGTTCTGATCAGCCTATAGAAGATTCTGCGCAAAAAATGGCATCAACTCACACAAAACTTGCTGTCCATAATTCGACGGTGCAAAGTTTAGGGACCAGAAACCTCTAAAAGTTATTTTTTTGGGAAATATTTTTCTTTGTAAAAGTTTAAACCAACAACGTGTACCGGTATCCTTTTCATATGTGAGATAAAATCTTTTAATTGGTTTTGGAATAATTTCAGACAGCTTTACTAGAAATCGATCAGTCTTCTAGAAATCAGATAAATCTAAGCGACTCATCACTAGTTAAAATAGGATGCGTCGCTTGCCTTCAGTTTAGGATATAAGTTTATTCTGACCTCTTATGGGGAGATGTTTTTGCATTCTGATAATTTTCTTACAATTTCTCTGAGGTTCCAATGAGCTCCATGTTTTCTCACAATTTTTGAGAAGTCCTTGGGATTCTGCATATCGAGAAATCAAAAAAATGTTCATATCGCTGCTTTTCTCTCAGTCCCTTCATTATCGTGCTCGCTGTTGCATTCAGTCACATCTAATGAGAGTTTCCTTTTTTTAACTATTTCGAAATCATCCTATCTCATTCAATAAAATGGTAAGACGAGCTTCGAGTGAAAAATCGAGATTGCATAGCCGAAATACTCTCAATCATGAAATAGAATTCTTGCGAAAAATTAACTGTTAAACGTCTAACGAAAGTTCTTTTCTTGTATTGTGTTGTTTCAGGTGCCCAGTCAGAACCGTTGAACAACTCGGAGTCCGAAGAAGATGAACTGGTACCGTACATACCCCACTTGAAAATTGAAAAAGCCGAAGGCACTCCATATTGCGATCAATCGTTTCATCCAAACGCTGGTAATCATCCGAAAAAGTCATGCAAATTTGGGATGGAATGTTATGATTACAGTGATTCACACCGAGCACGGTTTTCACATCCATCCAACAGAGATGAGATTGTCCAACGCTCTAAGCAAACACGACCGTGCAGGTATGGAATGAAATGCTTCGATATGAGTGACTCACATCGAGCACAATTCTCGCATCCATCGAGTACCGAAGACGGTGACCAACCCACTAAGCAACCAAAGCCGTGTTGGTACGGCACCGAGTGTTATGATACGAGTTCTTCACATCGCGCAAAGTTTCGGCATCCAGAAGTTTCTGAATGAGGAGGGTGAGGGGTGTGAGGGTGAGTAATAAACTCAAAGATAAATAGATTCAAAGCTGTATACGACACGTTTCGATTGGAGCTTATCCCAATCACCATCAGGTATCTTTTGAATGTATGGTTTTAGTGTATGTGCAGAAGTTCTGTTTT